AGGAATCCCCAAAAGCATCGCTTTTCATCAGCTTGGGGCTACACTGCCCTGGATCCGAGGTGGACGTTAGCATTACACTTCAGGGTCATACCAGTCCTTTCAAGTGGAATGATCCAGACACCCCTCGCCTGCAAGGGCCTTGCTACTCAAGGTGTGGTCCTTGGACCAGCAGCATCAGCACTTCCTGGAGGCAATTAGAAATGCAGATATTGGGTCCACCCAGACCAAGAGAGTCAGAACCTGCATTTTAACCAGCCCCCCTAGGTGACTTGTATGCACATCCAGGCTCAAGTGCCCAAGAGGGAGGCGGGGAGAACTGGATGGTGTCAGAGTCCAAGAAGGGTCCAGGCTCTGTGCTTGCTTCCTGTGCTCCTGGAATTGGGAAAACTTCTGGTCAGCTCCCTTCTCCAGACACATTTCTTAACCCTGAGCACATATTTAGATTCAAATTATTGGTCAAGTCTCAGGGGTCACAGGAATAAAGACTTAGGCAAGATCTGCAAATAAAATGGAAGGGTAAGGGCAAAATAACACAACCCCACCAGGTGCCTCTGCTAATTTCACCCTCTCTGAGCATCGGTCCATCATTTATTCACTTCCTGGGACTTACTGTCCATAACACACTTCAGACATCCTCATTATGTACCACTCTGAGTGTGTATACTGCTTTCTATTTGCAGTCTGGGCAAGTCGGCTGCCTCTGTTTCACCATCGGTAAAAATGGAGCATCCTCCCCAAATTCATGTCCACCTAGAACCCCGGAATGTGATCTTATTCGGAAATGGAGTCTTTGCAGATGTAACTAGTTAAGGTAAGGATCTCAAGATGAAATCATCCTGGATTGAGGGTGGGCCCTAACTCCAAGGACTGGTATCTTATAAGAAGAGGAGAGGCCACAGGGAGACATACACACAGAGGGGAAGGTCACATGAAAACGGATGCAGAGACCAAAGTGATGCAGCCACAAGCCAAGGAACACATAGAGCCATGAGGAACTGCAAGAGGCCAGGAAGGATTCTCCCATGAAGACTCTGATGGGAGCACGGCCCTGCCGACACCCTGATTTCAAACTTCTAGCCTCCAGAACTGAGAGAGAATAAACGGCTGTTGTTTTAAGCCACCAAGTTTGTGATACTTTGTTACAGCAGCTCCAGGAAACTAATTCTGAGGGATAATACGAGCTCTCAGCTCACAGGGTGATTGAGGACTGAACGAGATACCGTGTGCAAAACACTTGGCACCTGCACTCTATCTGCACTCAGTAAATGTTAATGTCACCATCGCAGTTGACCCTTGAACAACATGGGGGTTGGGGGACCAACCTGCGAGAAATCTAAAAATCCACGTCCTGCTCTCTCTGCCTCAGAAACAAAGGAATTGATAAATGACTCGCCCAAGGACAGGAAGCTGAAACAGTTTGGATAGAATCAGGACTCAAACCCTAGTTCTTTTGATTCTATATCCTGTGATCTCTAATCAGACACAAACTTTTCCCCACAGTGAGTTAATTTAAAGATCTGTTAAGTGAAAATACAGATACAACATTTATTGAAAAAACCACATGTACGTGGAGCCGCGCAATTCACACCTGTGGTGTTCAAGGGTCAGTTGTATTTGTGATATTGTCATTTCCTGCTTCACATTTGCCAGACTTCTCTTTCCAAGTAAAGTTTAAGTCCTTTAAAGGCAAAGGCTCTGTATTCCTCCACAGTACCTGGAACCATGCTGAGCACCTAAATCCTACCCAAAAAGATTTGCTAGATCATGTGTGGAAGGTCACCAGGAAAGCAGTCAGCACTACCTGGATAAAAGCAAGGGCGCTGGGGTCAGACCAGCCTGGCTATGTGTTGGCTCCCTCACTTACAACCCAACTGATCTTGGGTAAATTAGTTCACACATGTTATCATCTGCAACTTACCAATCGTCCTAATTTGCAGGCTACTGTGAGGATTACAAATAGTAAGTTAATAAGAAAGAGTCAAAGACCTTCTGAGTGCAGAAACCTAAAAGAACAGGACTGAGAGGGGACTTCCATGGTGGTCCAGTGGTTAAGACTCCGTGCTCCCAATGTAGGGGGCCCGGGTTCAATCCCTGGTCAAGCAACTATCAATAGATCCTGCACACTACAACTAAGACCCTGTGCAGCGAAATAAATAAATAACTGAATATTTATTAAAAAAAAAAAAGGGGCCTCCCTGGTGGCGTAGTGGTTGGGAGTCCGCCTGCCGACGCAGGGGACACCGGTTTGTGCCCCCGTCCGGGGG